CTGGCCTTGAACTCACAGAGATCTGCCTGCCTCTGCCTCCCGAGTGTTGGTATTAAAGGCCTGTACCACCAATGCCCAGCAAGATAGTTATTTTTGTGGAGACTTGTGGATAAAGTGTTTTTTTTATGTCTTGTGATCTTTATACTTGATTTTGTAGTATAGACTTCCTTTACTCTACTATTTTAGACTTTCATATGTAAAAGAAAATTCTTCCTCATGAGGTGCTTGATTCCTATGTGAGGATGAAAGAGTGTTATTTTGAGTGTCTAACGTAAGGTGAATTCATTCAATAATGGACTATGATAAGTATAGACATGGCCTCTTTTCCTGTCAAAGACAGCTATCAACTCAAAGCAAGCAGTGGTTACAAACTGAAACTATAGATCTTAGGGAAGGGATTCTCAAACTTCAGCATGAATGTATTATTATTTTTTGGGGAGAGGGTGGATGTCTTAGCTGTGGAAGTCATCATTGAGTGACATGAGCAAACTATTAATGGGAATATTTAACATATTCCTAAAAATAGTGACATACGTCTTAACAATGTATATGAACTGGGTGTGAATATTGTTTCTGAAGTCTCTGAAGGTAGGTGATTAAAGCCTTTCTTAGTAAAATTCAGGTTAAAAATTCATGATTTGCATGTATCTGTGTTGAAGTTACTCTGGCAAATTGAGGAATTAAATTTTTTTACTTGCACAGACCAAATATAATTCCTGTTATTCATTTCATGGTTCACATTAGCTAGATCATCTGTGTTTGTGTTATTTTCTAGAAATAGTATGTTTTTGAGCTTTATTAACCCTTTGGGAGAAAGAAGATTTTTATATGAAATCATTGCTCTAGTAACAGTATTTGAAAGCAAAATCTAAAATGCTTGTCCCTGGTGGAGTGCCAGGTTCTATGCTAATTCATTAATAAACACTCATTTAAAAAAATATTTCCTATAACTATAGGAAGAAGATCTTCTTGTGAGCATTAAAGATGAGGAAATGAAGTTTACCTAGTTTGTACACGGCTGTTTCATCATGCCAAGCTTAATTTAAAACTAGAATTTTCTAACACTAATCTTGTTTCTTATTAAAGTCTTGGTTTAAATCTTTTCTGAGTTTCTATCCTTTAGAAATAGGTAAGAATTAGTTTTGCGACTAATTTCATTGCCTAGGGCTTTTAGGGCCTGCAATCGGTTAATGTTGTGTCAGGCTGTGCACTCTCAAAGGAGTGTGCTTATCTAGCAGGGCAGTTTTATCTGCAAGGGTGAAATGCCAGGCAAGAGCAGCTACAGGTAATAAGTTCAGTGCTTTTTGTTTGCTTTTCTTTTTTGAGACAAGATCTCTTGTTGCCAATGACCTTGAACCCTTTGGTCCTTCCGTCTCTACCTGTCAAATGTTAAGGTTACAGTCCTGTGCCATTATATCTCTCAGTGCTGGAATCCATGAGTAGGCATTATGGAGAGATCCACAATACTTGGCATTAAATAAATTTGAGAACTAGAAATACTTCCATTTATACTAGTAATGAATAAATCATTTAAAAACAAATCAGTTTGCTAATCTTTAGATTACTAAACATATTTTTAATGTATGTTTTCAGTCTTCTCCCCCCATACATTGAGGTACTTATATTTATATTTTACTTTTGCTCCTCCTGTGTGTATGTGTGTGTGTGTGTGTGTGTGTGTGTGTGTGTGTGTGTGTGTGATGTTTGTATCATATTATATAGAATCAACTTGACTAATGGATAACTTGAGCAAGCCATGCATGTTTTGGCCCCGGCAGTACCGATCCAGCTTTTGATGCCTTTCTATTTTGGTGAATGCCTTATTCTCTGGAGGAAAGCTGTTTACTGCTGACCTCATAGGGTAGCAGGTGATGGCAACAATCTTGTGGCCTGCTGAGATAGGACAATCTTTCTCGACACACAGGGTTTCCTGAGGTCATTGGCCTGTTTTAAGAAAGCATGGAATGGTAAGGATTATATATTTGATGTAAAATCTAAATGTATGAGCCAGGTGATGGTGACATATACCTTTACTTCGGAGAGAGAGGCAGATGTATCTCTGAGTCTGAGGCCAGCCTGAGGTCTAAGATAGAGTGAGCCTCATGACAGCCAGGGCTACACAGAGAAACCCTGTCTGGAAAAACAAACAAACAAACAAACAAAAAATCAAATTGTATCATTCGAATTTTGGAGAAAAGGGAAGCCATTAGAGATAGTTCATTTGCTCAATTCCCTGGGTTTCTTTCACTTTGTATGGGCAGAAGTTACTCTAGTTTGAATAGTTGTTGTTTCAGAGCTTTTCCTCCAGTCCCCAAAGATGCTTTCACAGTGCCAGCTGCCTGCAGGCACATCTTCAGTACTCTTTTTCTTTATTTTCTGAGCCTGTCTCTAGTACTGAGACAAGAGCATGCATTTTCTCACTTAAATCCACCATGAACTCACTTGTGCCACAACGTTTTTATGATTTTTGAAATTCCCTCTCATTGTTAAGAGCATTGGTGCAAGCCTGCTGGCAGTCTTGCTGTTTGTCTGTATTGTATTCTCCGACTGGTCCTCACTCCGTGAATAATAGACATCAGCCTGTGTTTAACAGGAGCTTCTGGGTTCCTGGCTGCTCAGTTCAGAGGCTTCCTTTCTCCCTTGCTTTGTGCACTTTACTTCATTAGTACACGGTTGGAGCTGAAACCCAGAGGGGCTCTCAGACTGCCTAGCAGAGAGACTGGAGGGGACTTACATTAAATACAGCCTGAGGTGTTTTTAGTCTTTTCTTTTTCCAGCTAGACTCTAAGGAGAAGTGAAGGGGAAAGAGATGAAGAATTAGAGAAGACTTTTGTTAGAGCAGCAAATAATATCTTGGGTACCAACACTAAGATTGTTTGCCTAATTACCCTGTTGCAAAGCAGTGCATTGCCCCCATCGGATAAGTTAAATGTTACCCCTCCCCTATTTAGTTCTGTCTAAAAGTCTTCCCTGTTTCAATTTTTGCACATTTTCTTCTGTTCCTTATACCTGCTTATGTTTTATATATTTGCAGTGTGTTAAAATAGTGATAGCATTTTCATATTATCATTTCAACTCTGTGTAAAAGGACTCCTGTAATTGGATGTGTATAGGATATACTATAGTCACTAAGTTTCTAGATCCATCTGTGTATTTAGGAAGTATTTATAGCATGTACTTTTCCATTTCTGACTGGTATGGAGGCATGCTTCCAGTGTGGAAATTTGACTGACCTCTGCTATCTGGAAATGTAATTTGTTGTGAGAATATTACTGCAACTTACCCCCAGGAAATTTCTGAGAATCTCTGTATAACAATGTTATCCTTCATTTTTTTTTCTCATGCATGTGATGTGTATGTGTTCATACATGTGTGGTGTTTGACAGTGTATGTGTGAGTGTTTGTGTGTGCATGCATGTGTGTGTAAAGGTACATGAATGAATTGGGGGACCAGAGGTTGAAATTGACATCAAGGGTCTTCATCATTCTTTTCTACCTTATGAACTGAGATAGGGTTTCTCAGCTGAGCCAAGATCTCACCAGAGTGGGTTGTCTCACATGCCAAGGTGCCTGGGGAGATTCTGTCTCTATATTCCAAGCACTAGCACCAAGATGACTGGCAGGCTAGCATTTGCATGTGTTCTGGAGTTCCTCAGGTTTTGAAAATGTTAGGTACATTAACCACTGAGCCATCTCCCCATTCTTACACTATCTTCAATCAATTCAAATCAATTTGTTCTCTTTCTCTCCCTCTCTCTGTCTCTCTCTATCTCCCCCTTGCTCTGTCTGCTCCTCCCCAAATGGGTAGTTGTAAATTCAGTATTTAATCCTACAGTCTTTTTAAAGATGGAGGAAATGAACCAATGAGCAGAAAAGCTTGGCAAGCAAGCAAGAAGACTAGAGTTTGAATCCATATAACACATGTAACAACAAAATAATTTACCTGGGCATCAGTATTCTTGTTTCCCTACAAGGCCATGGGACATGAACATAGGAGAATACTGAGAAACCTATGAG